CAGGGTTATTTTGGAGTGATTTTTTTTTTTTTTTCTTTGGGACATTACTGTCCTTGGAATGGGGGGGGGAACAACAGCGTAAGCTCCTGTCACACCTGGACGATTTAGACCAGCGTCTGCCTGATATACAAAAAATCTGGCAAAAACGCTGGCGTATGGGAAACACATCGACATACTACGACGTCAAGAATTTGGAGCATGTTCAGAATTCCCCGACATATTCCAGCGTGTGACATACGTGGGCCATAAGTTCCTGATCAATTATCTGATGGTTGACATACATTCAGTGTAAATTACTCATAAGTCGTAGCGTCTAGCTTACCCGAAATCTATGAGTAATTGTGCATAACGTTTGCGTAACTTATCAAGAACCTGTTCCAGTTGACCGCTTACACTTAGACACTTAACATTATTTATCCCATGGGATTACTTCCCAGTAGCTTCTATAGAGTAAAAAGAGTTAAAGCAAAATGCCATTAAAGATAAAAATACTACTGACAATATAAATAGAGCAGTGTTGTATAGTAACAAAGTAAAAATACTTCATTTCTGTACTTAAGTATAATTTGAAGTACTTTATACTTTCCAAGAGTATACATTTTTTGAGAACTTTCACTTTTACTTCACTACATTTACGAACTTAATTGCATACTTTTACTCCGATACATTTTCAATGTTTGGTTTAGTTACTAAGTAAAAAAAACAAAAAAAAACGAGCGAGAGAGCGAGAGAAACGGAAGTGTTTTGACCCCGCCTACTGACTACAAAGTCGGGTCTTGACAATAGGATACTCCTGTTTCACAAAGTCAGTCCAAATTTATCCTACACTTGGTTGTTTATATTATTTTAGGTAAATTTAACCTTTAAAGTTTACCAAAATGTACCGTAAAAAAATGTCATTCAAACTGCACTTACTTTTTACTTATACTTTTCACTACATTACTTGAGTACATCTATTTTTACAGTAATCCTTATACTTAAGTACAAGCCATTTCATTTACTTTAAGACTTTTACTCAAGGAACATTTCAGTCAGTGACTTGGACTTTTACCAAAGTCATATTTTGGAAAAGTACTTATACTTTTACTGGACTCCGAGATTTCATTACTTTATACAACAGTGAAATAGAGTGTATACAGTACCAAAACAGCATTAAAAAAAAGAAAGCTGTAATGTCCTGGAATATGTTTCACTTAGATATAAAAACACGCTGAACGTGTTTCTAACTTCCAGCTACTGTATAATGGCGTATTGGCAGCGTTTTGGTATAAAGGGGATTCACAGGAGGAAACCGTCAGTTCTCCTCCAGACTTCATCCCCATCATAGGGTGAGCCAGAAGGTGAGTGATGGATCCTCCCTGCGTTCACGCCCACCACTGTTACACTTCCTAGCAGACATCAATCTGCTGATACCAAAAAC